CGGGGCGACGGGGGGGGGGGGGGGGGGGGGGGGGGGGCGGCGTTCCTTTTTGGGGGAATTTCCCCCTTTTTTGGGACAGTTCCCCCTTTTTTGGGGGCAGCCCCCACATTTTTGGGGGGGCAGAGCCCCCCTCCTGCCGCCCCGGCGGCGAACAAAGCCCCGGCCGAGGCAACAAAGACCCCGCTGGGTGGGAATCACGGGGGGGCTCCCAGCAGATCCCCCCCCCAAAAAAAAAAACCAAAACCCACCCCCCGAACCCCCAGATTTTCCCCCTCGGAGCTTTGAAGCCCCCCCGGATTTCGGGGCGCAGATCTGGGACACCCCCCCCGAGGTTTTTTGGGGGGGGGTCGCTGCAAGGAGCCCCCTCTCCTCAAAGGCAGGGGGGGATCCCCCAAAAGCCGCCAAAAGGGTCCCCAAATGTCGCCTCCCGCTGCTTTTGGGGGTCGCTCCCTCCGCGGGGGGGTCACCACTCTGGGTGGGGCGAAAACGGCTCGGACGAAACTTTTTTTAAACCAAAAAAAACACCAAAAAACAAACACCAAAATCCCCCCCCAAAAAAAAAACAACACCCAAATCCCCCCCAAAAACCCCAAGACGGGCTGGGAAAGGGGGGACCCCGCTCGGGGGGGGCTGCGCTGGCCGGGACCCACCTTGGCTCGGTCGCTCCTGGCCCGCGACAGCGACTCGATCCGGGACATAATCCGGGGAGCGCTCCCGGTGCCTCCCGGTGCCTCCCGGGGCTCTCCCGGTTCCCTGCCCGGTCCCTCTCGGTCCCGCCCTCCCGGGGGCGGGTCGCGCCGCCCCCCGGCCTCGTGCTGCCCGCGGGGCCTTTGTTCGCGCGGGGACCCCGGGATCCGGCCGGGAATCCCGGAACCGACCGGGATCCGACCGGGATCCGACCGGGATCCAGCCGGGAACAACGGGATCCGACCGGGAACCGGCCGGGAACACCGGGATCCAGCCGGGATCGGCCCCCCCGGAGCCTCCCCGGCATCCGTATCCCTCCCCCCCCGCCCGGGATCGGCTCCCGAGGGATCAGAGCCGGGATCGGCCCAGGCTGGGCACGGAACGGCAGCACCCGGGGGAGCTGAATCAACATCCCGAGGGATCTGAATCCCAGAATCCCGGGACACAGAGGGAGCTGAATCCCAGAATCCTGAGGGATCTGAATCCAGCATCCCAAGGGATCTGTGTCCCTGCATCCTGAGGGACCTGAATCCAGCATCCCAAGGGATCTGAATCCAGCATCCCGAGGGATCTGTGTCCCTGCATCCCAAGGGATCTGTGTCCCTGCATCCCAAGGGATCTGTAATCAAACATCCCAAGGGATCTGTGTCCCTGCATCCCAAGGGATCTGTGTCCCTGCATCCCGAGGGATTTGTGCCCAGCATCCCGAGGGATCAGCCCCTGCAGATCCCAGATCACAGCCCAGCTTCCCTCGGGATTGGTCCCCGGGTTCATCCCGGATCACCACCCTGCATCCTTTAGAATCAATCCCTGGGATCACCTCGGACCCTCCCCAGCTTCCCTCGGGATCAATCCCTGGAATCAGCTCAGATCAGCCCTCACTTCCCTCGGGATCAATCCCTGGGATCAGCTCGGACCCTCCCCAGTTTCCCTCGGGATCAATCCCTGGAATCAGCTCGGATCATCCCCAGCTTCCCTCGGGATCAATCGCTGGAATCAGCTCAGATCAGCCCCCACTTCCCTCGGGATCAATCCCTGGGATCAGCTCGGACCCTCCCCAGCTTCCCTCAGGATCAATCCCTGGAATCAGCTCGGATCATCCCCAGCTTCCCTCGGGATCAATCGCTGGAATCAGCTCAGATCAGCCCCCACTTCCCTCGGGATCAATCCCTGAAATCAGCTCGGACCCTCCCCAGCCTCCCTCGGGATCAATCCCTGGGATCACCTCGGATCATCCCCAGCTTCCCTCGGGATCAATCCCTGGAATCAGCTCAGATCATCCCCAGCCTCCCTCGGGATCAATCCCTGGAATCAGCTCGGATCATCCCCAGCTTCCCTCGGGATCAATCCCTGGAATCAGCTCAGATCATCCCCAGCTTCCCTCGGGATCAATCCCTGGAATCAGCTCGGATCATCCCCAGCTTCCCTCGGGATCAATCCCTGGGATCACCTCGGACCCTCCCCAGCTTCCCTCGGGATCAATCCCTGGAATCAGCTCGGATCATCCCCAGCTTCCCTCGGGATCAATCCCTGGAATCAGCTCAGACCCTCCCCAGCTTCCCTCGGGATCAAACCCTGGGATCACCTCGGATCATCCCCAGCCTCCCTCGGGTCGCCCCTCGGAGCCCCCCCTGCTCCGGCCCCGGCAGCCCGGATGCGGCCCCGAGTCCAGCCCTTCCTCTCCGTGCCTCAGTTTCCCCCCTCACACGCTCCCTGGAAAGCCCCGACCTTTGGGAATACCCCCTCCCACCCCAGCGCAGCTCCAGGACTGGAATCCCAAAGGAAGCCGCGAATCCCATGGAATTCCAGCCCTGCCCAAGCCCTGCACACCCCAAAGCTCCTTTTTGGGGTGACACGATCCCCACCCTGCTCTCCTCCATTTTGGGCCTTTTCTCTCCCACCTGCAGCAAACCCAGGCTGGGAGAGCCCTTCCCTGGGGATGGAAATTTGGGATAAAAGTGCAATTTTGGGGGGAAAATGTTGCTTTTCCCCCCATATCAGCGGCCTGGGAGAGGCCCTGGCAGCGGGAGTCGCCCGGTTGAACATTAACTCCCCCGAGATAAGCCAGGATTTGTGGCACCGGTCCCACTCCGGGGCTGAGATAACGCTCCCGATCCCGGCTGCGGCTTTTTGGGGACCCCAAAATCCCCAAATGTCACCAGGGGACAAAGCCACAACCCCCCCCGCAGGTCCGGCACGCAAAGAGTTAAATGTCCTTTCGTCCCGCATCTCCCAGCAGGGGGACACCGAGGGGACACCGAGGGATTAATGAGTAACCAGGAAAAGGCAGCGGTGCCAGGCAGAGGTGGCGCCGCTCCCGCCTGCCTCAGTTTCCCCGTGGAAAAAAAACAGCGGCCGAGGGACGGGAACGGCCCCAAAAATCTCCTGGGAGACGGAGGGATGAACCACGGGGAGGGTGGGATGGCCATTCCCGGGAAAACGTCCCTGGGATCCAGGAAAACGTCCCTGGGATCCAGGAAAACATCCCTGGGATCCAGGAAAACATCACTGAGATCCAGGAAAACATCACTGAGATCCAGGAAAATGTTCCTGGGATGTTTTTCCCATGGAAAACATCGCTGGGATCCAGGAAAACATCTCTGGGATGCAGGAAAATGTTTCTGGGATGTTTTTCCCAGGAAAACATTCCTGGGATGCAGAAAAACATCTCGGGGATCCAGGAAAGCATCCCCAGGACTGAGGAAAACATCCCTGGGATGCAGGAAAACGTTCCTGGGATCCAGGAAAACATCCTTGAGATCCAGGAAAACATCCCTGGGATCCAGGAAAATGTCCCTGGGATGTTTTTCCCAGGGAAAACATCCTTGGGATCTAGGAAAACATCCCTGGGATCCAGGAAAACATTCCTGGAATGCAGGAAAACATCTCTGGGATCTAGGAAATCATCTCTGGGATTCAGGAAATCATCTCTGGGATTCAGGAAAAGATTCCCGGGATCCAGGAGAA